CTCCCTCCCTCCCTCCCTCCCTCCCTCCACACACAGCCAGGAGTGCGGTGGGAATGCTGTGGGCATGGAGATATGGAAATGAAACAAATCCTAGAGAAAGAAACAGTAAACACAGAAGCAGCATAATATCAAATGCAGGCGCTCAGAAGATAAGAATGAAGGATGGGAAATATGCTTGTGGGGAGAAGTCACCATTTTAAAAACTAAAAATCTTTATTAATTTTATTATTATTCATTCTGATGAGAGAGAGAAAAAGCAAGCCACCAGGTCCGGGACTCAAACTGTAGTCAGCCATGTGGGAGTCCAATGCCCCAACCACCAGGCCATTTGCCGGCCCTAGAAGTCACAATTTTAAATGATGTCAAACCCTCATTGCAGTGATATTCGAACAGATACTTGAAGCAGTGAGAGAGCAAAGTGTTCAGGGGTTTATGGAGAAGAGTGTTGTAGGCAGACGGAGTGGGGAGTGCAAAGCCTTGAAAGGTAGAGAAAGAACAGGGAGGCGGCTGTGGCTGGAGCACAGTGAGTTAGAGGAAAAACCACAGGGCCTGGGAGGCGTCAGGAGCACCTCAATGTTACTGAGTGTGATGCAGACACCCTGGAGTTTGCAGAGAGGAGTGATGTGTAAACAGTACCTTTTGGCTGCTACACTGCAATTACACCGTGGGGTGGGGGCAAGGGCAGCAGCAGGGAGCTCATTCAGGACCCCACGGCAGTATTCTGGAGGGAAGACACTGGCCTGGTCATCAGGGCAACAGCAGAGGATCTGGTGAGAGGAGGGCGGGGTTCTGGATCTGATTTGGAGCACTGCAATAGCATTTGCTGACAGACTGGATATGCAGTGAGAGAAACCCAGCTCAGGTTTTGGTCTGAGCACCTAGTGAGACGGGAAGCCTGCAGGAGAGACTAGTGGGAAAGAGTGCAGAGCCGAAGTCCACTGTGGGCCATGTTGATGCCTGCTGGGCATCTCGAGAGAGGTCAGGTGGGTGGACAGACATGGGACTGAAGATCAGAGGAGAGGTCTGGCCTGAGGACTCACAGCTGGGAGCTGGCTGTGTGTGGACGTTGCTGAGAGCTATGAGAACGACACTAGGGGTTAGGAATTTTTCAGATGTCGTAATCTTATGGGACCATCTTCATACACACAGGACATCACTGACCAAAATGCCATTGTGCAGGGCGCTACCGTAACTGTAAAACTTGCAACGGTCTGGTGCAACCTGCACGCAGTCTGGCTGAGAGAAGCACATGGAGTTACCGAAGGACCTCTTCCTCACATTCTGTGCATCAAGTGGAGACTGCCAAAAGCTGTTGAGAGGATCACATTCTATCAGCAACTCCAGAAGAAATTACGGATTGGTTTGTGTTTTATCAATTAGTAACTGCTGCCCCTGCAGATCACTGAGTGTTTATTTACAGGTTAGTTCTCAAACACAGTCCACTACATCAACTGGGTGACCAATAAGACTTCAGACTTCACGCACCTTGGGAATACACTATGCGGTCATCTTAGAGTCTGTTGATGGAAATATCAACTCTGCAGAAACAATAATTAATGCAGTTTATTTCCTTTTTTAAAAAAGAATTATTTAATCCCATTTGTTGTTATTATTTAATTTAACCAGAGACAGACAGAAAGGGAAAGTGAGAAAGCAAGCTGCCAGGTCTGGGACTTGAACTGTGGTCGATCATATGAGAATCCAACACTTTAACCACCATGCCACCTGCTGGCCCTAATGCAGTTTCTTTTTTTAACTTTATTAAAATACTGATTTTATTTCACATGTATGTTTTTGTCTCCCCACCATTTCCATGTCTGGCCACCACTACTCCTGTGTCCTGTCATAACATTCTACACATACTTAAAATCAAGCAAAGGGTGGAGTTCCATCTTTAAAAACGAAACAGGCATTTAGGACAACACATTCTTGGCAATGAAACCTGGACAACGTTTATCAAACTTTTTTTTACATACAAAAAGGACAGCCAGATATCAACTGTTACGGACATAAAATAAGACAGAAAAATTTACAAACTATTTAAACTATTTTTTAAATTATTTAATTTTACTTATGCATTCATTAATTTTAATTTGACAAGAGGAAATAGAGAGACATAGAGAAAGAAAGAGAGACAGTAAGCCACCAGGTCCAGGACTCAGACTGTGGTTGGCCATGTAGGAGTGTCCAGTGCCTTAACCACTAAGCCACCTGCTGGTCCCCAGTTTACATTACTTTTGTTTCATTTTTTTTTTGGGGGGGGGAGAGATTTTTGCCATAGTGCACGTGCACTCCCCAGACAGAGAGAGACAGAGAGACAGAAAGCGAGAAATCACCCCTCAGGGGTGATGGCCACGCTGCAATCCCTTTTCCATTCTCCTCTCAGGATTTTGGGCACACACGCACACGCGCCCAGTGTGAGTTTTAAGCCACCAGGTCCGGGACTCGAACCACGGTCGACTACATGGGAGTCCAGCGACATGGCCATTACGCCAACTGCTGGTCCCAAATGTTCTTTCAAGTGAACTTTTAGGCACATTTCCTTGTAGATCCACTTTCACACCTGGAGATGTTCTTTAATTTTACCTAGCTACCTACCCACGAAAGGGAGGTTATTTATTATGGGAAGAATTTTAGTTATTTTATTTTTTGCCATAGGGCGGGCGCCACCACGCCCTAGTTATTTTATTTTTTAATCTGCTGTAGGGTGTGTGCGTGTGCGCCAGAGAAAGAGAAAGAGAGAAGACCAGCAGTTGGCGTAATGGCAATGTTGCTGGACTCCCATGTTGCCAACTGTGGTTTGAGTCCCAGACCCGGTGGCTTAAACTCATGCTGGGCACGTGTGCGTGTGTGCCCAAGATCCTGAGAGGAGAATGGAGGGATTGCGGCATGGCCATCCCCCTGGGGGGTGATTTCTCACTTCCTGTCTCTGTCTTTCTGGCAAGTGCATGCGCCATAGAAAAAAAATCCAAAAAAAAAAAAAAAAAAAAAAAAGAGAGGGAGAGAGAGAGAAAGAGAGAAAGCGAGTGAGAAAGCATCCCCTGGGGGGAATGGCCACATTGCAATCTCTCCTCCATCATCATCTTGGGATTCTGGGCATGCATGCACATGTACCAGGCATGTTTTTCGAGCTGCTGGGTCTAAGATTTGAACTACATAGTTGTTCATGTGGGATTCAGTCTTTTTTAAAAAATTATTAATTATTATTATTATTTTAACTTGACCAGAAAAAGAAAGAAAGTGAGAAAGCAAGCCACCAGGTCTCAGGCTCAAACTGTGATTGACCATGTGATAGACCAGCACCTTAACCACCACGCCACCTTCTCCCACCCTCCTGGGATTCAGTCTAACCACCATGTCACTGGCTGGCCCTACAGGAAGAATCTCTAGGTGTCCTATGAGGGGAGAATATTTCATATTATTTAGTTCTCTTTATTGCAGGAAGTGAAAGTCCTATTATTTCAGCTTCGAAGGCCTTTGTGGTAGATTTTTTTCCAAAGATGACCACCAATAAATGCTTCCATCCCTGAATAAGCACGCAACTTCTCCCATGAAGAGGTGGTCAAGAGCCAGCAGGTGGCATGGTAGTTAAGGCGCTGGATTCCACATGGCTGGCTTCCCGGTTTACATCCCGGACCCTGCTACTTGAAAAACACGCCGACATGGTGTGTGTGTGTGTGTGTGTGTGTGTGTGTGTGTGTGTGCGCACGCACCCAAAACCCCAAGAGGAGAATGAAGACGGGACTGCAGTGAGGTCATTATCTCTGTAGGGTAATTTTTCTTTTTCTTTCTTTCTTTTTTTTTTTGAGAGATTTTTGCCTTAGGATCAATGCACTCAACAGGGAGTACACATGCATGCAAGAGAGAGAGACAGGGTGAGAGGGAAAGTGAGAAATCACCCCCTAGGGGGATGGCCAGGCTGTGATCCCTTCTCCTTTATTCTGCTTCTGAATGTTGGGCACACACATACATGCGCCCAGCGTGAGTTCCAAGTCTAGGACTCAAACCGCAGTCAGCCACGTGGGAATCCAGCGACATAACTGCTAGGCCATCTGCTGGTCCTGCAAAGTGATTTCTTATTTTCCCTCACTCTCTAGCAAGTGGATATGCCCCATGACAAAAATTGATAAAAAAAAAAAAAAAGAAAGAAAGAAAGAAAAGAGAGTCTATTTCTCCTCTTGAATCTGGTCATCTTGGGACTTGCTTTGACCAACAGAAGGCACTCGAAGTGATGTACTACGTTTTCAAGCCCAGGAGTAAGGAGTTCACAGCTTCCGCTCTCCTAGGATCCAGCCACACCATAAAGCGGCTTGACCCAGACTTCTGAACCATGAGAGAACACAAGGGGAGGGAGGCTGC